CCCCCCCCCCCCCCCTCCAAGGGCGGCCCTGGCGCTTCCCCTGTCTTATCATAACTATCTACTCAGTGGTCGACCGGGGATGCATGATTTTGGCCGGGGCCGGGGCCGGGGACTGGTCGAACACAATCTCGTACCCAGAGCAACGCCCGCGCGCGGGCCAGGACGGCACCGGCTCTGGGGAAACTGACAACCGGAACCCCTAAATTTAGGGGTTCCGGTTCTTTGTCGGCATGCACGATTGATAAACGTTAAACCAATCACAGCACAAGAAAAATTCAATTTCCCCAGAGCCAACGCCACCCCAGCCTGCGCACAGGCACCGCTCTGAGTACGAGATTGGGTCGAACATTGATATTATGTGATGTTGAGCGATGTTATTTAAGCGGGATTTGGAAAGGCCAGTGGAATTTACTGAACAGCGGTTTATTGCTATCGTCAGCCATATTGGAAACATTTTACGAGAATAAATGGTAGTGACGGGCGATACCAGCTTTTTTGGTTTCGATACGATACCAGTCCGATACCATGAATTTTGGTCGATACCGATACCAAAATCGATACCGATACTCAATTTTTTCCATTTATTAAAATAACTTTTAAAACACGAACATTAATGTTTAAAACAAGTCAAAGAATACTCTAACTGGAGTACCTGCCAAATAATCGAACATAACATTTGCAATTATGATTTTAAATCAAAACAACAATGTTTTCCTCAAATATATTGCTAATTAGCTACATGTTTTTGTTTAAGAACAGCATCATGTCAACATTTTTTGCCTTCAGGGGCCTTCAGTCTGTTGCCTTCATGAAGCATTAAGTGATTGGTCAGGAATACTGACCAAAAACATCGCAGGCTCAAGTAGTATCGAATTACCGATACTTTTTGCGAGTATCGAAAGTATCGATACTTTTGTAAGTATCGATGATTTCGATACTTTTTCGATAGTATTGCCCATCACTAATAAATGGTACGTATCTTTTCTGTTCGTTGCTTTCGATTAATTTTGTCAATTTTTTTAAACTGTTTTAACTTTTACTTAGTTTTTACTACGTTTTTACTACGTTTTTACTAGTTTTTAGTTTCGCTAAGGTTCCCTGAATCTTGACAATTATAAGATAATAATAGAAAGAATTTGACAAATTTGAGCTTGAAATCCCCGGCCAAATTTCCAGAATTTTGGCCGGGGCCGGGCCGGGGCCGGGGGTGCCAATTTTTAAAGCCCTGGTCTTTTTCAAGTAGTTTTTTGTCCCGCAAAAGTAAAAGACTTGGAAATGGTGATTAAATTATTTACTACGGTATGTTATTTAATAACGAGCAAGGGTTATGGTAGGGATTTAAGTTATAAAGTTGGTGTTTGGAATAGGATTAGTGTAAAGCTTTGTTACGTTTTGTCATTCTGAGGCCAGCGAAATAACCTCTTACGCAACATGCATGCGTACGCGTCTACTATCGTCAAGAAACAATCAATACGTATAATCGTTGTGGTCTGTGGGATTTTAATGAGATTTAATGACCTTGCAGTTTTAACACACATTAGCCGAATTCATATTAGAGACGGGAAACTCATATTAGTCGGGAAACTCGTCTTAAATTCGAATTTATCCGTCCCTAAATTCATATTCAGGCGGGTTTTCACAGACGAGTTTCCGTCTAAGACGAGTTTCGCGTCCCTAATATGAATTCGGCTATTGAAATATAAGGGCTGGTATAAAACTAAAAATAAAAACTCCTTATATTGATAAACATTATAAACGTTCATTTCATGTCACGCACGGTAACACCTGCTTAATAATTAACTTACGTCTTCGTAAACATTATAGTCGATACATAACTGGTACATTAATTTAATAATATGGACAAAATGGAACAAAACCTCTGAAAACAGCAGTTGTAGTTCTAATTATTTTGGTAAATTTAGTAACAAATATAATCCCTAAACAGCTCATCGCTTTGTATGTTAGCGCTATTAAAAGTAGACAATATTGAACAGTGATCTGAAGTTATCATGCAACTGACAACGATATTATATCTCAAAATACCTGTATATGATGATATTTCACAAATATATCGGGATTTCTGGACCAATTTTAAACTTAGAAAGCCAAAAAGTCTCCATTCAAGAATATATCTTCTTATCAAAAGGTAAAATACTTAAAATACTTGATTAAATTGTTTACTTCGACGCGGTATGTAAATTAACAGCGTTTGCTTGCAAGACGTCAAAAACGGACGATTTCAGCGCGCTGTCGTTTATCGCGTATTCATTTGCCCAAAGAAGTATTTACGTCAATTGAAAGCTTGTTTATTAAAGAGCCAACTAGTAGAAGCATGATCGATTTGGAGCTTTATCCCATAGTGAAAATCGGTTTTGTTAAGAGGGTATCGTAAATGAAGTAAGATAGTGTGCTCCAAAACTACGATTATTTCTATTCCTAAAAGTAACTCAGATTTCTTGTAAGTCACGTACCCGGTCCTTTGAATAACCGAAAACAAGATTTTTAGGGTTTTAGATCGATTAGAAACGGTTGTCGTCGTGAAATTTGTCGGTAAAATCAGCGCATATTTTCCCAGACAAAATGGCGATTTAGGGTGGTCGTGTTAAAACGGCATTTTCTCAAAGTTAAAAAAGTATTTGACCTAAAAATATATATGGTGCATTTTCCGATATAATAAGGTATATCTGGGCAAAATTTGAGCAAAATCGATTTTTCCGTCGTGGCCGCCTTATGTTTGATTTTTGTGGACATCCTCTCTTAAGCCCGTTCTCCACTAGGCGAATTTGTTCGCGCGACGCGAAGCGAAAACCGAAATCCGGCAACGTGATTGGTCGGCGAAAAAATTCGCGGCGAAAAAGTAGGATCGCTTCCTACTTTTTATCTGTTCGCGCGAAAAAATTCGCCTAGTGGAAAACGGCCTTTAAGCGCTTTAGAATATTCTATAGTTTTAGCGCGGTACAAATTAATAAATTATAAATTATAAATTATATTGGAATGACATAGTATGGTATAGTATTGTTTGGTATGGAATAGTATGGTAAGGTATGGTATGGTATTGGAATGGCATAGTATGGTATGGTATGGTATGGTACAGTACAGTATAGTATGGTATGGAATACCCATCACTATCATAGCATACATACCTTTAACTGAATCCGACTTAGAAGCAATACCACCAAAGAAATCCAAAGTGAAATCAGCATTTGAACTTTGTATCACATCCAATGTACACTCAAACTCTTCGCTGCTCTCGACAGCCGATGGACATCGGAGAGATGACACTACCGGCACTTTGACCTCGATTTCAGTCTCCGCGCTGACAGACACAGGTTCCCCGTATTCAGATGTCACAGCCGAGGCCCGCACGTTGAACTTGCCAGCAGTTAGGAACGCGAAGAACATATCAGTTTTGAACGATCGCATGGTTTGACCATTTCCAAAATCTATCGAGTAATCGCTTTCGGGAAGGGGGGAGACGGAAAAGGATACGTTTTCCCCGAGGTTCACTGTGGTAGGGATAGTAAGGGTGAATGCAGGGGTATTGTACGTGCCTAATGTTTGATAAACGGCCACATAGTCGATACCACCACAGCTTAAGCCGGGTTTCCCAGAGCAAGGAATGCCACATAGATTTTCAGCGATATTTCCCGAGGAGCCTGGCAGAGTGTTACCACAATAGCACTGGGTACCAGCTTTCAGATAAGCGTAAGTTGTCCCGCTCTGACCGCATATAGTCGTACAAATTTCTGGAGTCATATTATCCCCGTCGTATATGTCTTCACGTGTAAGCCCTCCTCCGTCTATGAAACACCCTTGGTAGTTCTCCGCTGAAAATTTTAAGACACTTTCTAAATTATACTTATTTATGCTGGAGATTCTAAACTGTTCTCCATAGAGGTCCAGTAAAGATATCTCTTATTGATCCAGTGTTACTACAGGAGGAAACTTAAACTAAACTAACTTTATTTATACTGGATATCTCTATCAGTTCTAAACTGTTATCTCTAGAGATCTAGGCGGTTACAAATCTTTAACTGTATACGTCGTTCCTACCTGCAGCTTCAGCGAAAACTTCAACTCTCATTGCAATAGTACCAACCCAGGTCTTAGGATGGAACCTCAGGAAACGAGTTGTCACATCGGAAAGCAGCTTATTAGACACCACGGTCGAAGCATCTACTGCACCTTCAAGAATCTACATAATTAACAACAATAACTACTCAATGTCTTAAATATCGAGAATTTTATATCGAACTCTGGCACAGCCACCCAAGTGCTGGTTTTAGCTATTAATTTGTATATGTCCTAATTCGGGCCCGCAGTAATTAGCTGTTGCGGTCACCTTGCCTAGTCTTATGTGTTGTTGTTGTTGCTGTTGTTGTTGTTGCTGATGTTGTTGTTGCTGTTGTTGTTGTTGCTGTTGTTGTTGCTGCTGTTGCTGCTGCTGTTGTTGTTGTTGTTGCTGTTGTTGTTGTTGCTGTTGTTGTTGCTGTTGTTGTTGTTGCTGTTGTTGTTGCTGTTGCTGCTGTTGTTGTTGTTGTTGTTGTTGTTGTTGCTGTTGTTGATGCTGTTGTTGTTGATGCTGTTGTTGTTGCTGTTGATG